TCTTAATTTTCACATTTCCCTTTAGTTTATTAACAATAATAAAATTAATCCGACTTAAATTCATTGATTGAATTTATATATTTTTTGGGGGAATAAACTAAATCAAATAAAGAAGACCCTAATATTGGTCTAGCCATCTATGCCACCATGTGTGGTTAAGTTTGTTGATTTACTTTTGACAGATGAGAATTGATGAAAACCGCAAAGTACTTTTTATCCAAAAAAAAAAAAAAAAAAACTGCAAAATACTAAGTTAAGAAAAGAAAACGAAAAAACAAAGAAAAAAAAAAAGCATGATTTGATTTTAGTGACAGTAAATCATAATGTCAAATGACCACTGGTCAACACATAGAACTATAGAAGTAGTGTAATGCAGCAAATTAAGTTTAGACTATTAATTTCAATAATTTAAGTAATTATGTGGTTATTTTTTTTATTGATTTTTTTTTTTGTTGGTTATCTCTTTTCATTAAAAATAAGAGATCATGAATTTAAATTATATGATATACGGATAGAGTAAGATAAAAAATAAGAGATTATTGCCTCCATTATGCAATCAAAATTAATAAAAAAAAAAGTCTAAACTATTAATAATCGGTGTTTAATTGGCTATTTATATAGTAGATGCAACCGATAATTCATTTTGGAGAAGATACGCGCATAAGGGTAAAAGAAATACTTGTACCTTACTGAAATAGGATGAGCCCTTGTTATTTGAAGAGAGTTTCTTTCATTTTGACTTTTTTAAAATGTTATATAGTATGAATTATATTAAATAATAAAATACTACATATTAAATTAAGAGGAGCTTTTGACATTGTGAGAGAATTCCATCATTTAATAATTAATAATTAGTATTTTGCAGTATAAACACCAAATTCTTTATTTTTAATGGAAATCACCCAGTATTTTTTTTTTTTCGTTTTAATAATAATTTTTGATATACTGAAAAGAACGCAAAATACAAACAAAGTATCCTGGGACATCTGATCATGCTGCATAATGAATGTAACCCAACTGAGATTTACATTATGTTTCACTTATTTTATAATAATAAAAATATTTCGTAAAGTTTAAATTATATTAAATTATTAATTAAGAATATTGATTAAGAAGGAGAACTTAATATTCTAATAATTTTTTTTTTATTGTCTAATATGATAATATGGCTAGTAAAAGTAGAGAGTAAACTCCTTGATTAGAAAAATTAAAAATTTCAACGGCTCGGATAGGTAAAAAAATAGTTTCTGGCCTTGATTCGTAAAATTTAAAAAGTTTATTTCCTTTAGCTTTGGGAAGAAGTAAGAGCAGGAGATAATACATATTTCTTACTCATCCCCAAAATTTCCAGGCTTATCTACCTCCAACTTGTGTGTTCCTCAAATTTTCTTTGTTTTTATGATTTAACTAAAAAATAGTCATTCCTCCAACCAAACCAGCTAGATTTTAATATTCACTAAAATTGTAAAAAAATGAAAACATTTATCCAGAATATGAATCATTGCTTGTATTTGAACAAGGAAAGGAAAAAAATGGAGTATCTTTATCCCTACATTCATTATTTAAACACTTATGTACAAGAACACCCAGTTGCAATTCTTCCATGGGCTGAGCTGAAACACATCCAGGAGAAAGCTTGGCTGCTGATTTTGCACCAACCTACATACAAAGCCTTTGGCACATGAAAACAGATGACCTACAAGTCTAAGCTACCAAACCCTAGGAAAAACTTGCCTCCCAATTCAGGGGGAGACGAGATGCTTACAGCAAACTACATATAGAAAGCCTGCAAAACTATAGCAATACAACTTGGGAGACGTTTGCCTCCTCAATGATTCTGAGATGCTGAAATTCTGGAGTCTAGTAATTTATATAAAATGCTCTTGCCGTTCTTTTAGCAGCTCCATCCCGCCCTACTAACCTCCACTTGATGGCAGCCCTGATAATGCACCAGCCTGCCCTGGGTTTAATATTCGGGGAACAGAATACTTGTGGTAGTGAAATTTGTGGTTGATGGGAACCTTCTGATTCATCGGTATATGATGTTGAATTTGGTGAGTGGCTAAAGGTCAGGCACATTTCAGGTTATCCTGCACAAATATCAGAATTTAGAATCATAGAATGAGGCATTAAGACGGAAGAAGAAACAAGGAAAGAACACCACGAACTTGAAACTGAAATCCCAAAATAGAATTTGCAGGGCCAGTTGATGAGATGTGGTATAACATAACATTGTATGTGTCCTGTACCTTGGATTGAGAAGCATCCCCTGGGGACAATGTCCCATCATCCTCATCCAACCAGTTTGTCTTAAGAACCTTAACAGCTTTCTCAGAGATCTCAGTGTCGTCATGAGACTGTAAATTCTCAATTTTCTCTAAACCTTCAGCATCATCAATCATTTGTGTATAGAGATTAACTCCTCCATTATTGCACAAATTCTTGTCAGCTTTTCCCATTTTCAATATGTTTTCAAGACCTTCTAAACAAACTCTGATTATCCTTGGATCAGAGCAGATAAGAAGATCACACAAGGGTTTGATACAACCTTGACTTACAAGGTACCTGAAAGTAATGATAATCCCAAAGAAAAAACTGAGTATATCACTTATAATTTACCATTTTAACATGCTAGAAGCAATTCCGAACAAATATCCAATAAATATAAGGATATTGATAATTTTAAGATACTTGATTTGCTCATGAGTTCCACCAGATGTAGCATTTGAGATTGCCCATGCAGCTTCTTTCTTAATATCAAATTCAGCACTTTGAAGCAGGTGAACAAGTGGACCAATTATATTAGCATCAATCACAGCCTGTATGTAAAATACATTTTATGATTCATTATTTTAATGTTCAAACAAATGCCAATGAAGCTGTACAACAAAATTGATAAAAGAGATTATTAAGGCAGAGGAAAAAGCTACTTGATGTGTCCGCATGTACCTGAATCTGTTCCTTATTTCCAGCTGTAATATTTGAGATTGTCCAACACACTGCCTTCTTAATACTCTTTTTATAAGTATTCATCAACAGGTTCAAAAGGCAGGGTAGAGCTCCATGATTGATGATACACTGGATCCAAAAAAGATTCATTAACACAAGAAGAAACTAAAAGCAAAAAAAAAACAAAGAAATAATCCTTGGAAGTGCGAGCAGACATACTAAACAGAAAATCTGTTAGTGGCTTAATACCAGTGTTTGCATGTCATTCCCTGTGATGATATTTCCAACTGTGCGAAGAGCAGCAATAAGCACTGAAGGAGATGAGTGCCTGTACAAATCATCAAAACCTACCAAATCTCAGTACCAGATAAACAAAACAAGTAGAAATTTCATGACTAGAGAACACACACACACCAAACATCACAGCAAACTCACGTCAACAACTCAACAAGCCTTGGACATACACCAGCTTCTATGACTGCTTGAATTTTATCATTTGTACCATCAGAAAGATACGAGAGAGCCCAACAAGTATCAGTCAACACTTCTTCATCATTCGAATGAATAAGGCATGCCAGAGCTGGAAGTGCAGGCTTAACCTGCATGATAGTCAAACAACAAAACAACTACATAATGTAACCAACAAAACCAATAGCTGTGAATATAAAAATACTCAATAATGCTACTGATAATAATTCCAAACGATAGTTAAATATTATTGAAACTCAAACTTCAATTCCATGACCCTAATCATGATATTCTTTTGTATTTTATTTTCATTATAAACAGATATAATCTGGCAGAAGATGGAGAAATTTACAGATAAATATACATATATCAATATAATCTTCACATCAAACACAAGATTTTGACCATACTCAAAGAGAGGGCAAGGTCCAACCTGATCAAATGGAGGTTGTGGCTTGCCTCGACAAAAGATAGAAAGTGTCCAGGTAGCATTTCTTAGCATCGAAAGTTTGGCATGCTCATTCAGTAGTGCCAATGAGGGAAGCAAAGCTCCATGGCCAAGGACAAGATCACGACATCTAGGAGTGTAACCTGCAACATTTCCTAGTGCCCAAACAGCCTGCATTATAAAAATGGGGAAGATAAATATGAACACAGCCATAAAGCATCCTATCTTTTTTTCTGGTAAAACTTAACTACCCTCAATTTAAAAAGTAACATGATCAAGATTCGATAATATAGTGAACAAATCCAAACAAATAATAAAAGGCAAAAGATATATGAGATAAACACAAAGCAGTTAAACATCTTCATAGTGATACCTGCTCACGAACATTATCACTTGGAGAACCAAGTAGCTTCACAAGTACTGGAATGGCACCATGGTCAATTACCACCTTAGCGTTGTTGGATGTGCCAGAAGCAATATTTGTGAGTGCCCAAGCTGCCTCAAACTAGAGGAGTTTAAAACCAACAACAGTGTTGGAGATAAAGACCAAAACTAAATCAACATATAAAAGTGAAGCTGTGTGAAAGCTAACCTGAAGCTGGGGTAAATCCTCTCGCGCGAGGAACTCAACAAAACGGGGTACAACCCCAGCTTGTATAACTTCCTCAATGTGCAGGCAACGTTCTGAGTAAGAAGGATGGTTGCATGAAGTTATTATCAGAAAATATGAAAGTGCACATTAAGAAAATTCAGTATGGCACTAATTTCCCACCAATAGAAAGTAGTTTCCTAAACTGAATAGTAGCCTCAAGTTGCAAATTACTATCATCAGACCAGACACCAGCAACCATGGGTGGCAAAAATTCCAACTGCAATCGTAGAGCTAGATATAAAATACAAGATGAACAACCCAAACGCCCAATTACGTTACCAATATCATGCAAATGATTGAAAAAAGCAGAAGAATTCAAATCGCAACATATATCAAATTGTGCATCAGACCAAAGAAAACTGGATTGCAAAAGGTTTGAACAAATTACAGAACCCCTAATCCAATCAGAAAAAATGAATCAAACCATCTTCTCAACTGCAGAAGAGTAAAGTTTGGCAGGCATTTGCTGAGCTTGAAGCCCTTCGCGTCGCTTCTTCTGCAAGCTCTTCTCTCGTCGGTTCTTCCTAATCATCAACACATTGTCTTCTCTCCTCCTCCTCCCCTCGTCGGCGTCGACTCCGACCTTGTAACTGTTCTTCCGCACCTCAGCCTTCTTATTAGGCCTCAGCGGCATTTTTTCAGATTACTGCTCGGAACAGTAAAGATTAGTATTTAGATTTCAAATGAGGCGACCACCAGAAATTCTGAGAAATCCCGGCACCGGACGTCGTTTCCAACAACCGTAAAGTTTCAATAGAAAAAATTGCGAAAATATTCCGCTGAGAACCTTTGAATTCAGAGACTCATTTTGAAGAGGGAAGGAGAAGAGGTGGAGTTTATATAGCAGAGTAAAGTGGTAGATAAGGATATGAACTTTGGTTCTTTTTTATTTAAGGATACAAAGTTTTTTAGTTTTTAAATAAAGTTATCAAGTTTTAATTTTTTCGTAACTAGAATGCGAACTTTGTATATATATTTTTTTTCCTATTTAAGGATTTAGTAATGGTGGTGATGACATGGCTCGAAAAAAACTAATGGATTGTTGACATGTATAAAATGCAACAAGTGTTGCACTGACTAGATGAAGGAAAATATTCAAAAGAAAAAATTGCAAGAATATTTTGATGAGAGCCCTAGAATTCAGAGACTTTCTTTTGGTAGAAAGGGGAGGAGAAGAAATGGAGTTTATATAAGAGTAAAGGTACAAATAAGAATATAAATTTTGGTTTTTTTTTATTTAAAAATATAAAATTTTTCAATTGTTGTATGAGATTATCAACTTTTAATTTTTTCTAAATCATGTTTACCTTTATTTTAATATGTTAAAACTTAATAGAAATGAAAATTTATTTGTTACACAATTTTCATCCAATTAACTATATTTGTTGTGCAATTTTCATGAAGAAAATTCAAGTACAAATGTGAAAGGATTGAATATAAAATTTAAAATATAATTCACTTTTAGAATGTGAATTTTAGATTTCTTTTTATTCAAAAAGGGAGTTATTATATTTTATTCTTAATAATATGTTTTTGAAATTGATATATTGTCTGATCATTGAATGAAATATGTTTTCAAAAGTAATTGAATCTCCTGCTCAAAATCTTTCCAAAATGCATTTGTGTATAAAAGGTGTGGAACAAAACAAAAAGATTCAAAACTTATTAAGGTATATTTTTGGGAGGTTTTCATATCCAAGGAAAGTTGCAACACCAAGGTATTTGTGTAGGAACTTTTTAGTCTATTGGTTTCTGGTTGCAAGGTTCACAAAAGAAAGTTCTAACTCCTAAGAGAAAAGGTCTAGAACTTATAAATAGAATTTGAAACTAATGTATCAAAGGCAAGTTTATAGTTCAAACTGAACAAAATTATTTCCAAATCTGGTGCAATAGCTAAAAACTTAAATTAAGCACTCTTGAACAATAAGTATAGGCCATTGGAGGCTAAAGCAAGAGTAGAGAAAAGAAAAGAGCTTCATAAGGAATATTCTAATGCAATCTCTCATTTATTATTATAGTATGTTTAGTTTGAAGGAAGTTGAGGGAAGTAGATAGAGGAATGATTTTTTTAATTAATCAAATTATAACTTTGAGAAATAATTGTTATAACCTGATTTTGACCAAGCAAATTTAATTAAATATTTTGTGATGTGGGAGTTAACTGAAAACCTTAAAATTTTCAATTGTAAGGACACATTCACACATTGGAAGATTGTAAAGGTTTAAATGTCAAGTGCTGAAAGTTGATGGATTTCATGAAGAAAGAGAAAGCTTCCAAGAAGGCCCTATGGGGAAAGATCAAGCTTTAAGGATATAATTGTGGAAATCATAATCCAAAGGACAAATCTACCTTATATAAAAAAAGAGAGGATTTAGGAGTAAATTTGAAGAATTAAAAGGACGAAAGACAAGATTACAAACTTCTTCCCCAGGCTGTTAAATAAAAAAGAAAAAATGAACTTCTCTTCCAAGTCTTCTGCTTTTGAGAGGGCAGCGATACAAAAATAAATTTTTATATAATTT